AGCTGTACCACAGACAGGTGTCTCTGACCCACAGACAGGTGTCTCTGACCCACAGACAGGTGTCTCTGACCCACAGACAGGTGTCTCTGACCCACAGACAGGTGTGTCTGACCCACAGACAGGTGTCTCTGCACCACAGACAGGTGTCTCTGACCCACAGACAGGTGTCTCTGACCCACAGACAGGTGTCTCACGAAGCCAGAATGAACGTCATCACTGAATTGACACATTTAACAAGTTTTCTCAACTGCAGCCACAGCTTTGCCACATACATTAACAGCATCAATATGGACATAATAAACTGACACCTAAAAAAAACATTTAAATCAAATCTTGTAAGACCCTACAGAAATCCAGTTTCCCGGTTCTGACTCCTGCTCTCTGATCAGCCAATCAAACGATGAGAAAATGTTGATGCTGTGCGAGGCCAGCTAGCAGGCTCTGGTGTCTTCACCTCTGCACCTGATTGGTCAAAGCAACAGTATCACTGTCATGTGTTTCACCGTCCAGCTGCCTTTGCTGCTCATTCTGAAGGCCTGAGGCAGATTTCTGGACCTTAGCAACAGATGATGATTGAAATATGATTGGAAAAAGGCTCTAAACAAATACAAGCTACTGGAAGCTGCGCAGCCAGGAGAAAAACTATGAAACAAAATGAACAGATATTTTAAAAATAATAGGAGCCTAATAATAATATTATTAATTGTTAATTTATGATTGTGTTTAGGCCAGCAGAGAAGGCTTTGCTGGCCCTGACAGCCCACCACTGCAACATAAAAAAATGGTTCTTGAAAAAGAAATACGATTCTTAGATTGACAAAAAGTATATATTTAGCATTGTTACACGTTTCTTCTCAGTTAATACCATTTTCAGCACACAATCAAAGTTTCACTGCAGCAGAGTCAGAATGAAGCCTGGCGGATGTTAAAAAAAAGTTGGTGTATGAGTCTGTTGCTGCTGTGTGTTTTTGTTTTGAAATAATAATTCACCCAAAAACTTTAGTTTTAAAACAATCTCTACTTTGGAAAACATATTTTAACTCAGTTTTTGTACATGGAACCTAATCACCCCCCCCCCCCCAAAAAAAAAAAGATTTTTCTAAAATATGATCAGATTAGAACTTACCTACACTACTGCTTATGTTTCTTTGATTACTCATTCTTTTTTCCAAGTTTTTTTTTTTACTTTTGACATTTTATTGTTTGCTATCAACAAGTGCATCCTGAGCACCCCCACTTTCCTGTTAACATCTGTGTTAAGGAGTAAAACATTTTCCATGACCTATATTAGGTCTTCCTCTGGCTAGATGGAGAGGAGATGAAAGCCTCTGTTTGACCTTTGCCACACTTAGGCTATAGTTCTCTTTATTTTAAAACTTTGCCATGACATACTTCCTTTGCTTATTTTTTTTTTGTTGCTTTTTTTAATCAGATGATTACTCACTTCCTCATGAGACTGCTGTCATGGAGAAGTAGAGACTCAAATCAAATCTACTTTAGCATCTTTGCGGCTCTTTATTTCAACTCTTTGAAGTGGGATTGTGCAATGCTGGAGCATTCATTCGAACCCTTTGATAGCCTCAGTGATATTGATATAAGTGTGAAAGTGTGATATAAATGTCTCTGTAGACTGCTTCTCTTTCCCATGCTGCAGTTTTGTGAGACGTCTTTTGCCTTACCTGTCCGCCCGCAGATCCACAAGCAGGCCCCGCCTCTGGAGGACATAGCGGAGGACTGCAGCGCCGCCATGCGCTCCTTTCTGCAGCGAGCCCTGGAGAGGAACCCCGCACTGCGGAGCTCGGCGTCCGAGCTGCTGAAGGACGAGGCCGTCAACCCTCCCAGGGAGGATCAGCCGCGCTGCTGGAGCCTCGACTCGGCCCTGGAAGAGGCTACCTACACGTTGCAGAGGCAACAGAGCCACGACACCACGCAAGGCAAAGACCCCTTCGCTGAGCTCGGCTTTGGTGTGTGTCATGTTTTATTTTGTGCTCACTTTTCTTTTCCCTTCTTCCCTCTGCAGAATCTTCTCTGTACTCTGAAGACTCGGGCCACATCAGGAGGAAGGGCTCTCTGTACATTGACCTTGGGGCCTTGTCGGGGTACAGTAAGCTGGTGACAGGACCCCCATCCTGTGAATATGGCTAACATCTATCCACAAACCACCTGAAGAGGAGCTAAAGCCAGTGGGTCATTTGCTTTCAGCCTTTGAAGCTTGGGAACAGCTGCAGGCGACCTGGCTTTATGATGCAATCGAGACGACTGGGAATCCTTGCAGCTTTTACTGTCTTGGACCTTTTGAAGCTTTGGGACACCAGAGCAGCACTAGAAAGTGATTGTTGTAGCCTGACTGGACAGAATGTCCCTCACTGAGGTCTTACAGAGGGTCATTTTGGGCTGCCAGCAAAAATCGGGATTAAAATGTAGTCAATTTTTGTTTTTATTTAAAGGCTGATGCTATTTGAATGGGATTCTCTTGGGCTCGGGGTCTTGAAACCGTTGCATTGTTTCCTTTTTGGCACCAGTTTTTAGTGATGGTGTCTACTTATCCATCTTTTGCATTTATGGTTTGGTTTGGTTACAATTTTAGAAAAAAGTATTGATGAAAATTTGAAACAGAAATGTATTTTTTAAATTCTAAATCACTCAGTTATAGCTGATTTTTGGGTAGGTTCTTGTTTAGACTGGCAGGAATCCACCTTTTTCTAAGTTCCAGATTTGATTTACATGTTGCAGATGCAGCTGCTATTTATTTATTTATTTATTTGCAAGTTTGGACTCTAAAAACGAATTATTTGTTGCGATAAGATCATTTTATCCCTCTCAAGCGATAGAGGAAACCAATCTGGGGTTTTTGTGATGGTCTGCTTGTACCAAAGAGCCTAAAGACACCATCCTGAGCTGAGGCTGTTGCTGGGGACTCAGCAGTTGTAACTCATGGGCTTTTGCTAAATTGCATAACAAAAAAACAAACAAAAAAAATCCCAAAGTATTTATCTCATCTTAAAATATTAAAATAACATCTGGTTCTTTGGAAGCAAAGTAAAAAGAAATGAGTCGTGGATCAAGACTTTTACGCAGCAGATAACCCAGCTGGACAGTGGTTGCATGGGRTACAGTGTACGTAGCAAAGCATTACCTAAATTCTTTTTGTACTTTATTTCATTTTGCCCGTTATTACAGTAAWAAATGCACATTTTCCTAAAAACCTGTCAGGTTGAAACCGAAGCAGCTGCAGCTTTGGTATGCAGAACCTCCAGATTCTTATTTTAGCTGTAAGACTTTAAGGCATCCATATCTCAGCTTCAAGGAAACGACTTTGCTGTGATGCTTGGTGAGTGCAGATAAGGGTCACCTGCTTATCAGTGTGCACATCTATCTAAAACAACCACAGTTTAATTATATCAAACATTAGGTATAAATGATCACTTGTTAGAATGACTTTTTGACTTGTGTAGATGGTTTCAGTTTTACAGTCAAGTTCAATTAATGTTAGGCATGTAAAAAGATCTAAACCATGCAGAGCAACAACGCAACAGCTCTCATATCAATGGTATTCAGCCGACGTGAAGCAAAACCCTCCCCGAACAAAAAAAGATGATTTCGTCTCTTTAAAAGGAAAGCTGTCCGTCTCGGTGTGTGCGCCTTACACGGGCACGTAATGAAACTTTTTGTAGTTCTTTGTGGACTTCCTCTTTCGTCGATTCCTGTGGAATATTTATAGCAGCACTGTTGTATGCAAGTGGAAACTTCTGGAGAATGCACGTGCAATTTTATGTATTGTGTACATCTTGTTCGATGAAGCTCGCTCTGACTATTTTCTGTTATTTTTTGCACTCAAACAACAAGAAGAAGAAAATCTCCATTTACTTCTGTTTTCKTTGGAATTCAGCATAAAATTCACCCCGAATTTCAAATGTCAGGGCATTGTTCTGTAAATACAATAAAAATACCAAAACGGCGTAATGCTTGTGAATGWTTCATTACTCCCTCGTGCAGAAGGTGATTTGAAGAGCTTACTCAGATAAGGTGTTTAGCAACTGAAGGAAACCTTAAAACATATCATTGCAGTGTGATATGTAGCACAAGAATCTGTATTTTAGGGTTACATAAAAGGGTTTAAAAGATATAAAATTAGCAGAAACGACAAAATAGTGTAATAAAACATACAAAATGTATTTCTCCTTTAATGGCAAAGTGATTTCTTTTGAATTACAAGATTTTATGATATATGTCTGCTCAGAGGCTATAGAGACATATTTTAATCAGGTACAGACAATCTTAAACAACAAACAAATACTTCACCGTGTAGAAAGTGCTACTGATTCTAAAGTATCTAAGCAGAAAAACTGGAAGGGAGTGTCATTTCATTGGAATTGACTAATGTATTTTTTCTGATTTTTTTTTTTTTTTTTTTGTATTTGGTTTAGAAATGACATAAATCAAACCGTAGAGCTCGTCGCTACTTGCTCATATTTAGTCATGGGCCATGTCAAGTGATTTTGCATCAGGGAAACTCAGATGGTTGAAATGTGTAAACAAGTTTCTTTCCTATCTGCAACCGGGGCCCACTCTTCCYCTTTCTAAAGGCGTCACACGAACGTGGGCGGCAAGCTCAGCAGATGGAGGAGGCTGACTTTGATGCTGATCTGAAAGCTCCCAACATTTACAGTAAGTGTCACTGGGTTCTGCTGAGCATGGAGAGCTGAGGCTGCCGCCTGCAGGCCGTGAGCGCTCGCCACGTCCTGTGAGGCTGGGGGGGAGTCCAACATAGAGGCCAGCAACACAAGCAGAGCTCCTAACTTTAATGTGCAATTCTCAAAATGATGAGAGTTTGTGGAAAATGTAAACAATAATCCCATATTTGATTTACAACGGGGAATAGTAAGCGTGTCGAAATGTTTTAACTRAAACAAACTCTGCTAATTTATTGGAGGAAACATTAAATGAAGCTGTGTCAGGGGTTAATACAAGGCTGTAGGTGGCATAGAAAGTCAGAAAGAAAAAGCAGGTAAACTGGATGGATGGATGGATGGATGGATGGATGGATGGATGGATGGATGGATGGATGGATAGATGGATGGATGGGTGGGTGGGTGGACTGATGATGGATGGATGGATGGATAGATGGATGGATGGATGGATGGATGGATGGATGGACATTTTTTTGGATGTGTGGACATTACTGCGCAGACTGTGCTCAGCATGCACAGTGAGCTGATGTTAATGAGGATCACATGCTCAGTGAACTGCAGGAAAAAGCTGCATTGACTAATAAGTACCTAAAGCTAATTCCAGTTGCTGCTGTGTGGTTTGGACCTGATTCATTTCCACATGGCTGCAACTGTCCACTTACTGGTTTAGTACTGTGAGCCTTTCTCAAACGCCACTGTGCAGAGTTGTAAAGTAACTAAGTACAAACACTTTGTTACTGTACTTACAGTAAGTAGAATTTTTGGGTATCTGTACTTTACTTGAGTAATTATTTTCAGCCTACTTTTAACTTCTACTTCTTTCATTTTCACACATTTATCTGTACTTTCTACTCCTTACATAAAAAAAGCAAGATTTGGAAAGTTGTTACTTTTATTTAATTTTTGCTTGTTTATATTCCAGCTTGTAAAAAATAAATACTATCCATATRAATTGTGCCTCCTATAGAGTGAATTTAATTGTGGTTGAATGAGAAGTATGAATATATAAAATTCTGATACCGTATTAAACAAATCATGTCACACTCCAGCAGGACATAAGCATTCAAATAAAAGGACTGTACTTAAGAAGTATTTATATTTCATGAATTATATTATTACATTTGGCCACAGCCCTCAGATAGATTTTCATTTTGGAGAAAAGGTTTGGCCATCTTTGATATATGTATATAAACTGAAACAGACTAGTGCATCCTAAATTTAACATAAATTAATTATTTTAATATGATATAGTCATTTCTGCATTTGTTGAGGTCACCTCTTATTAAATGTCCTTACAGAAAATATAACTGCTCATTTTATATCAATACTTTTACTTTTAATACTTAAGTACAAAAAATATTAGATACTTTAAGACTTTTACTCAAGTAATACTAAAGGAGACTTTAACTTTTACCAAAGTAATTTTTTGGTAAGATACTTGTACTTTTACTCAAGTATCACTTTGTGGTACTTTATACRACACTGCATCTGTGGACCAGTTTCTCTCTATTGGAAAGGATCCCTCAGGAGCCTGGACCAAGATATTAGGTCCTCTGTTTCACTGATTAAGCCCTGCTGTGAGAGGTTAGAGGAGGGTGATGTGTCTGAGTGTCTCTGTTAGCCAAATATCTCATAAACCACTGGATAAATTTTAATGGAACTTTATTATTATTATTATTATTAT